ATGGATTAAAGACCTAAATGTAAGACTGGCAACCAGAAAAATTCTGGAAGAAACCATTGGAAAAGCTCTTTTAGACATTGATTGAGGCAAGGAATTTATGCTTAATACCACAAAGGCAAATACATTGACAACAAAAATAAATAAATGGTACCTAATTAAACTAAAACTTTCTTGCACAGCAAAGGAAATAATCAACAGAGTAAACAGATGAGTTACAGAATGGAAGAAAATATTCACAAACTATATATCTGACAAAGGACTAATATCTAGAATTCAAAAAGAACTTAAATCAGCCAGGAAAAAAATGAAACAAATGACCTCATTAAGAAGTGGGCAAAAGAAATCAACAACATTTTTCTTTTTTTTCTAATATTTTAGGTTTATTATATTTTCATTAGAAAACTCTCAGAAATATAAAATGGCATACAGTTTGGTTTTTATTTTTTTGAGACAGTTTCACTATGTCACCCTTGGTAGAGTGCTGTCGTGTCACAGCTCACAGCAACCTCCAACTTTTGGGCTTAAGTGATTCTTTTGCCTCAGCCTCCCAAGTAGCTGGGACTACAGGCGCCCACCACAGTGCCTGGCTATTTTTTTGTTGTAGTTGTCATTATTGTTTAGCTGGCCCAGGCCGGGTTTGAACCCACCTGTCTTGGTGTATGTGGCTGGCGCCCTAACCACTGAGCTATGGGCACCAAGCCAAAACGGCGTACAGTTTAACAGTTATGACTAGTGTGAGCATATAGGTTACCACTGGAACCTCTATAATTTTGGGAGTAAAAGGGGCACTAATTAGTTATTACAAGGGAAGAACAGATTGAACCAGAACTGTCCCAGTAACCAGGACATGTGGACAACCAACTGTTGCCCTCTGACTCTTCTTCCACTCATTACCCTTGCTTTCTTCCTATAACTATCCATGGGAAGGTATATAAAGTATTTTTGATGTAAAACCATTTGGCAATATATCGGACTACTTTACATAATGTTGTAAGAGTACTTTCTTTGCTCACTACCCATGTTTAGAAAGGCTATTTCATAAAGGTAGTTTACAATAGTGTAAAACTTTGTAACTTCAACTGTATCTCATCCTGAAGTTCATCACTGCTTTTAACAGAAGCAAGCATATCAGGTAAAGTGCAGCAAAGATCTTCAGTTCTTGGTGCTTCAGTCGTTGCCTTCATAGTTGCACATAAGTATTTCTCAGCTTCACACCACAGAAGGGGGCCTTTTGTTTTTTCCACAGGCTAAAGCTCTGGAGTGCAGTGCTCCTGGAGACATTCATTCAGAAACTTCTCGTAATCTAGGCTTAAAATTTTTTGAGTTTCGCCATTTATTGGCAGTTCATCAAAGTGGTACTACAAATCGCGCATGTCAAATGAAAACGCTATATTTTTACCAAAACAAACTCTATCGCCATATTCCTTTTCTGTCATCTGGACAAGAACAGGAAGATCATCTTGATTAAAATGAGAAATAATTAGACTAGTAGCATTACAAGCTGCAGTGACAGATGAGATGGAAGTGGTCTGAACATCTGTTTTACAGCCTCTGTCTCCTCGTGCCCACATTGTCCTTCCAGTGACATGTCACCAGGAGAAATGCAGCAGCAGCTTCAGTTGCTTCTCTGCCACCGTCCATTCTAGCTGTTTGTTTTCCAGCATGTCATATTTCTTTTAACTCTTCATTTACACATTACATTTTAGTCTTCTCCAGTTTTTTTTTTTTTTTTTTTGAGACAGAGCCTCAAGCTGTCCCCTTGGGTAGAGTGCTGTGGCATCACAGCTCACCATAACCTCCAACGCCTGGGCTCAAGCGAGTCTCCTACCTCAGCCTCCCAAGTAGCTGGGACCATAGACACCCGCCACAACACCCCCGGCTATTTTTTGGTTGCAGCCATCATTGTTGTTTGGCGGGCCTGGGCTGGATTTAAACCTGCCACCTTAGGTGTATGTGGTTGGCGCCTTAGCCACCTGAGCCACAGGCGCTGAGCCTCTCCAGTTTTTTATTCAAAAATTTTATTATCTTCTTCCATGTCAGGCCCCAATCTAAAACTTGTTCATGAAGTTTGGATGGCTTTAAGTTAGCTATGTCTTCATTATAATTATCTTGTTTGGTGACATTTGAAAAGGAGGGCAAGGCTCTTGTGAGACTGAGGATAAAGTCATCTATTATTCAATCAGTGATCCATATAACCAGAAATCAAACAATATGATATTTATATACTCAGAGGAGGTGGGGGAGGTAATCAAACTCAGCAAATTCTCCTCTTTACTCCGGCTCACGTGCTTCCCATCACTCCATCTGTTCCTACCACCATGCCCCCCTCCCTTTGGGTTTTATTTTAACTTCCCACACCAGTGGGGAGTAGAGGGCAGGGCCAAGGATGCCCGTGGGCAACTGTACTCCCACACCCCCAGCATCCAACCTTGCTTGCCGGGTCACTCCTGGTCACTGGGAGCCTCATGTTAGGACAGCCATCAGCCTTGGTTTTCAAGGAAGATACACAAATGGCCAATAGACATATGAACAAATGTTCAATATCACTAATTGTCAGGGTTAAAAAAAATCAAAAAGCAGTAAATTTGTTATGGATGCTGTGAAAAAGGAATGCTTGTACATTGCCGGTGGGAATGTAAATTAGAACAACTGCTATGGAAAACAGTATGGAGATTCCTTAAAGTACTAAAAGGAGACCTACTATTTGATCCAGCAATCCTACCATACATATCTACCCAAAGGAGAAGAAGTCATTATGTCAAAAAGACACCTGTACCCAAAAGTTTATCACAGCACAATTGTGATAAACTGTAAATATCTGGAATCAACTTAAGTGCCTATCAGTTGATAAGGTGCATAGAGAAATGTGGCATACAGTGTGTGTGTACTACTCAGCCATAAAAAGGAATGGAATAATAGCATTTACAGCAACTTGAATAAACCTGGAGAACAGTTTCCTACCTGAAGTACCCCAGGAATGGAAAAAAACCCACCCTATTTTCTCACTAATAAGTGAGAGTTAAACAATGGGTACAGCTGCTCAGAAAGCTGTTTAAAGGATCCTGGAGACTAAGCAGGGGGAAGGTGGGAGGGGTGAGGCATAAAAATGTGCCTGTTGTGGGGGGAGGATGGGTGCTGGGAGGGTGATTGGCGGGACCACACCTATGGTGCATCTTACAAGGGTACATGTGAATCTTTCTACATGAAGAATATAAATGTCTTAACACAATAACTAAGAAAATGCCATGAAGGCTATGTTAACCAGTTTGGTGAAACTATTTCAAACTGTATATAAAGCCAGCACACTGTACCCCATGACTGCATTAATGTACACAGTGATGATTTAATTAAAAAAAAAAAAAACTTGCCTGCTGGGTGCAAGGTACACTATTCTGATAACGGGCACACTCAAAGCCCTGTCTTCACCATTATACAATTCATCCATATGATGACATTTGTACACTCTAAAATTTCAAAACAGAAATTATAAAAAAAAAGAAAGTCAAGGAGAGACTGAGAGAGTGGCAATTTGAAGGTGGCAAATTGCTTTATTGCATGTCTGTCTGAAGCCGTTATCTCTGGGCCGGTGGTGTTCTCTTCTCCTCTGGAGGGATCTTAGCATGGCTTGCTCTGGGGACTGCCTGTGCCCAGAGACTGGCTGGAAGTCAGAGTGGTGACTGGTGTAGAGCTGTCCTCATAATGACTTTTTTAAGTAATAAGTTTAATTAGAGCTACTGAGAATTGTAGTATAGTAGTAGTTTGGAATATAGGTGATAGGGTCAGACAGCTCCTGTGTATTCCTGGCTTTACCACATTTCTGTTATGAAATTTAAACAAGTGTTTTAAGTACTATAAGGTTTTGTTTTCTCAACAATATTCTGAAGATAATAAAACCCTTTTCATCATGTCATTATGAAAATTAAGTGAGCCCAAGTTTATAAAATTCCTGTTACATTATAAGCACTTACAAAATGTTAGCTTTTTTGTTGATAAGAGAAATCTGAGTTAGAGTCTAGAGGAGTATTTCTATTTGCTTTAAAATTTTGTATTTTGATGTCATTTCTTCAAATGACTATTTTAACAAAATGTCAAGTACCACATCATGTCCTACTTATTTATTTTCTATCTTTTATTCCAAGAAGTCTTTTCTTTATTTGCTTATGAAAAGATGGATGATGGAAAAAGCCTCATTCCCAAAGCTATTTGTTTGCATTTGGTAAGGTTTTACATAATCCATTAATGAGGATGTCATCACAAAAGAAAGAAAAGCAAGAGCTAATGTTTAGAGTATTTGTTATTGGGAAAGGATTACTAAGTTAGATACAAAATTGGTTAATACCCTGGAGGGTAGTAAAATCATAAACTTTAGAATTGCCTTTCCTACCAGACCAAGGAAAAAAAATCACATCATACTAAGTTTTCACAATTTAATCTCAAACTTTATAAAACTGTAAATTGTCTGGGCTATCAAACAAAAATATGTCTCCCGAAAGAACTGTCATTAGAAAATACTCTAGCACGACATTTAAAAAGAAAATAATCACTGATTTGCTTTATTTTCAAGTTTTCGTATTTTTCCTTCCATCGTAAATAACTGTGTTTTAGTTTATCATTAATCCAACAACAATAAAGTGATATGAGAGGATTTTCCACTGTGGGGAGGAGTTAGGCTTTTTTTTATTGGAAGGAGAAATGCTAATAGGGAAGAAGGAAGCAGGTTGACAGTGAAGAAGGACTTGGTTTTGAAGGAGGGTAGATGGGGTGAGAATGTGGGGGTTGCTTCTCTAGCCTCCTCAGAATTATTCCTGTTCTCAGAGGTGACCTTCTATCCTCTAAAAAGGATGAGGGATGGCAGAGCATTGCAGAGGCTGCAGAAAATGGTAATGGAATCCATGCTTTTTGAGACTCCCTCTCCAAGTTTAATGTTTGTTTTTCATGGGGTCAGTGTTCCTTTGTGCTTCCTTAGTTGGACCTAATCTATTCTCTCTTTTCATTTATAGTGGCATCGATGTTCATTATGCTGTTACTTTCAATGGCCAGGCCATCAGCAATACCACCTGGGACCTAATTAGCCTTCACTCCAACAAGGTAGAAAACCATGGCCTTGTGGAATTGGATGATAAGCCCACTGCTGTTTATACAATTAGTAACTTTAGAGATTATATTGCCGAGACACTGCACCAGAATTTTTTGCTGGGGAATGCCTCCTTGAATCCAGAACCCGACTCCCTTCAGCTTATCAATGGTGAGTTTGATATCTATCATGAAGACCTTGTATAGTTTTGGTTTCTTTTCCAATATGCTCTGGTTAAAACTAATTTCCCTAAATATATATGGTTCTGAGCACTCTCGATACTGTATGAGATAGGAGCCATCCTGATATGAGTAGAGCTTTAGCCATGCAGCTATTTTGGAAAGATTAATCAGGGGCTGTCTGGAGTATCTGTGGACAGAAGCCCATGGAGTGGGAGAAATGGAGAATAGCATGACAGAAATAGGTTAGAGAAGTGGGAGCGAAGTGTAAGAGAACGGCAAGTAGTACCTGGAAGTCTGAATTGAAACAGGCTATTATAATGCTGCCCAAGTGACCGAGACATGCAGTCTCCCGTGTGAGTAAGTCAGCTGGTAAAGGCTTAAAAGTCAGAGATCAGAAGAGGAGCAGGTAAGTTAATGGAACATGTAGGTCAAAGAACTGATAATGGGGCTGGGCAGAATCCAAGAGAATCCAATGCTGACTACATTCAGATAGCTGTAGAGATCCAGTTATGATCTATAATGAATAGGTGGGTCCAGGATCATCACAAAGAGAGACTCTACTCTGGATTTGGAGGCTAAAGGGCGGCCTAGTCAACCTAGGTCTGAAGCTTGCTTAGGGTCTGGTGCCCATCTTCTTATCAGCGACATGGTGTCCTGTTACCTTACTTGCTACTTCATATTCGCTTCTCCATGATTTTTTTGCTTATTGGTAGTTTAGCTATTACAATGATCAATGGAGTATGTTTTATTTATTTATTTGTTTATTTTTATTTGTGTTTTTTGAAACAGAGTCTCACTCTGTGCCCTGGGTAGAGTGCCATGGCATCCTAGCTCATAGCAACCTAGCTCAAACTCTTGGGTTCAAGTGGATCCCCTTGCCTCAGCCTTCTGGGTAACTGAGACTAGTATGTTTTATTTAAATAAGCCTCTATCCTTTCAGGCAGCTATCACCTAGGGGTCTGTGTGTGTGTGTGTATGAGAGAGAGAGAGAGAGAGAATAGACAAATAAACAAAACCAGATGCTGGAGAAGCTAGTTGGATTTACACAGGGAGAACAGAAAATTATGAATGGAAGAGAAAAGAATAGATTTGAAAGGTGAGATAGAGGAGTACTTAGGGAGTCAAGATTTTTTTGGGTTGGAGTTTGGAGGAAAAATTTTTAGAGAGAGAGAAAGGAAAGTTTTGTCTTTTCAGGCAGGTGTGTGTGTGTGTGACAGAAAGAGAGAGAGAAAGAGAAAAAATTTAGTAAAATTTTACTGTGTGTGATAGAATCCTTTATTCTCCAAATAGGGTTTTTGTTTGTTTTTTGAGAGGCTAGTGTAAAACTTTAAATTGCTTTTCAACTATTTTGTTTTCTGGACTGATGTTTCTTTGATATGATATTCTGCTGAGACAGGGTCACAAATTGGCCTGAACTTATGTGAATTTCTTAGGACTTTGAGATGGAGAAACTCTCTCTCCAGTGGGTGATAGTGATATAAAGCTATCTGTTCTTAGACATTAGAGAGTCTTTGTATTTTGGAGCAAGGTGGGTACCCTGGGACTACTTCCTCATATACTCCTTTTTCACTGTTGAATCTTGTTGGAATACTTGGGCTAGATTAAAATAGTGAACAGAGAAGCTTGTTATAATCTCGAACTACAGAAGTTTTTTTGTGCAAGGCTAATAGAGACTAGCTAAGTGCTAATCATAGGGACAGTATATGGGCAGAAAGGTCTAGGAGTCTGAATATTGGGATCTAACAGAGAAAGGATATAGTTAAGAGGTCTCCTAAAGGAGATTGGAACCTAAATGGAGCAGAAGGTGTAAACGTTAAGGTTGGTAACCAGACTGGTGAGAGAATGGCGTGAAGAATAGGTACCTGATAGGCAAAGTGAAGTGTTTTGGGAAACACTTAAGCATCCTTGCCAGATCTTTCTTTAATATGGAAACTGGGGAGGAGCTTCCTCCTAAAAGGTGTCCTAAAAAAGAGGTCAACAACTCTCTTAGAATTTGAAGGGAAGTTCAACAAATGCTTTAAAATATCTAGTACCAACTAATTCAGGTGCCTTGGCCTTTCATTAGCTGTATGTTTCTATTACTCAGAACTTTGTCCCTAAAATCCATTTCTGTGGATGCCAACTTCGTAGTTCTGAATGGCTGCAGCTTTCTAGGTAACCTGATCATCTCTACCTAGTCTTTATTAGCCTTGCACAAAAAATTTCTGTAGTTTGAGATTATAACAAGCTTCTCTGTTCACTATTTTATCTAGCCCAAGTATTCCAACAAGGTTCAACAATGAAAAGATAGAATCATTCTTTATCTCATGGAGCTTATTTTCCATAGATGACAAGATAATAGTATACTTAGCTGAAAACAGTTTTGGAAAATGCTTAAACCAAATAGGGGTTTTTGGCTTATGCTTGATCCCTTTCTGTTGAGTCAGTGGGAACAGGTGAATAAAGAGACTCTGGTTGCAAACATCAGATTACCCTTCTGGAAATCCCTCCTTTTTAGCTTTTAATCGATTCTCTCTTCACTCTAGGAAATATCAGTTACTTCTTTGTCTGTGTTCCCCTCACTAGTTTTATAATTTGTGCTTATCTGTCATAGGCAGCGCTGTCAGAAGAGCAGCTGGCTTTATTAATATTTATTGCCTCAACTTTGGTAAAGTCTGTGATAAATAGCAAGGATCCAGTAAATCTTTGCTGAATTATACAACGTACTCTCACTTCTTTATTTGGTCTTTACTGTTGTTATAGCAATGAAGTTTGTTTGTGTCCTAGACTGTTTCTCAAAGATGCTTTCTGTCAAGAAAGAAATCATTTTTCATGCTTTTCTACCATTCCTAGCATCAACCAAGTGAACTGAAATTTCAAGACAATTTTTAAAATAAAAAAAAATCAATTTAAAAATAATTTTCATGTGACTCTTGAAAAAAATAAAATCTGCCTTGAGAAAAACTAAAAAAATTAGCAGGCATTATGGCAGACATCTGTAGTCCCAGCTCTCAGGAGGCTGAGGCGGGAAGATCATGTGAAGCCAGGAGTTTGAGGTTGCTGTGAGCTAGGCTGATGTCACGGCACTCTAGCTAGGCAATAGAATGAGACTCTGTCTCAATAAACAAACAAATACCAGCACCCCCCAAAACAAACAAACAAACAAACAAACAAACAAAAAACTGACTTGAGAAAGGAAAGGAAATAGTAGAGGAGTGTCCTAAATGTAATAATGGAAAGAACCTTTATTTTATGTTGGGTTTTTATAATTCAGACAGATTGTGTCAATATAAATAAAATATCTGAATACAGCAGCAAACGTTCTCTAAGCAAGTTTGCCCCACCTGTTCTGCCAAAATTGAACAACTTGGCTTTAAGTTGTTCCTGCACCACAAATACAATAAGTCTTAACTGAAAATGTTCTTTACTATTGTTGCTTTCCCAGTGAGAGGAGTTTTGCTTCCCCAAGCTGAAGAAGTTTGGAACACTCAAAGTTCAAGTCTTCAGGCAACGCCGTCATCTATTCCGGTATGTTTCTATGTTTTATGTCTAGAACCAGGCTCTCAATTTTCTCTTCTTTGTATCCTTACCCGCTTACTTTGGCATCATGATTTTCCCAAGCTGTCCCATTTCAGATATTCTCATCATCCTTGGAACATTACTCATAGTTGTCAGCTCATAGGTACCAAAAAGTGTTGGTTCAGAAAACTTAAGCCTTCCACAGTGTCGTCATTGCCAACTCCACACATGGTAGAAAACTTATTTATGGTTCCTTGTTTGGTGGTAGCTATTAAATGCCCACTGAGTTGTTTTCTAATAGTTATCCAGATTTTTTATAGCCAAGACTATAAAGTGATGTATATAGGTATAGAGTATTGATTTTTGTGTCAAGGATCATAGTGAAAAAAAAAAGTTTAGACTGGAAGGCATGGAGAATAGTGTGTGTATGGAAAGAAGACAAGGGAGAGTAAAAATATTAGCTAGCTGACAAATGACTGGGATTCTAAATCAGGCCTCTTTGTAACCTGGACTGAAAACTTTCCCATTTGCGCAGAAACAGGGTGGAATAAACTTCTTTTCATTCTTACCACTTAGCTCCATCAGGAATTGCCTTTCCCTTCCACATCTCCACCTGCCACTTCACTTATAGGGAAGCATCAGGTAGAAAAGAAAATGGCTTTTTTGAAGTGCTGCTAGGACACCAGCAATAACAACTACAATTGCAACAGCACTAGAGACTTACCTGTCTACAATGAGTACAGAAATCTTGGATTGTTAACAGACCCAGTAGACTCATCTATATTGCCTCCTTTCACCCTCTTAAGACTTCTACTGTGTTTCAGACTTCTACTGTTTGAAATACTTGTTTCTTAAATTTAATCCAGTAATGGAAATTTAGAAAGCCTGCTCCCAAGTCATTTAATCATTGATCTCTGTAGTCATTTCCACTACTCAGTTATAGAGCAACTAAATTTTGCAATGTGGAATCACGGGAAATAATGTTTTCACTGAGTTACATATTAGAGAAAAAAAGATTGGGGGGATTGACAGAGTACATTCATTTGGTGTGTATTTATTTATTCATTCACTTATTCATCCATTCAAATGTATTTATTTTGTGCTTTTCATGTGCCAAGTGCTGGGGAAACTAAGGTGAATGAGGTGTGGCCCTGCCTACAAGAAGTTTCCAGTCTGGTAGCAGTAGACAGATTTCTAAACAAACAAGAAATGCTGCCCTAGAAGTCCATCCAGGGTTCAGTGGCAGGAAATGGTGATGGCACCACTAGTTCTCACTTCTAATCACATTGAGCCTGGGACTTCTCTAACCACAGGGAGGAACTTTGGTGTTTTAGAATCATAGTGTAAAGACAGGAATTCCTACAGAAAACCGAGGTTGCAAACTAGAGACCAGCTAGATCTAGCTCTAGACGTGCATTTTGGGACCAGATTTTAAAAAATAAGCCAATTTTAAAAAATCAGGAGATTTTTCCATAAAAAATAAAGAGTGCTAGTTTCTTTTGAAAACCAGAAGATCTGATGCCATTAAGTTCAGATTTCTTTGTGGCAGAAGGTGGCTAGAGCTTGGCTGTGGCTGTCCCATTAATGATGGTGGCAAGTATCAACTAACTGGGTTCATTTGTTCATTTATGTTGTAGTAATTCCATTTGCACTTAAGCCAATTCCTTGTTTTTGATTACTGGTAACTTTAGGGCGTTAATAATTTAAGGAGACATTTGGTTATTACATCTGGTTATTACTTTCTTTTTATTTCCTTCCTTCCCTCCCATTCTCCCATCCTCTATCCTCCTCTTCCTTTCCCAACTGTTAGCAAGATTTTACTCTATTATAGAATTAAGGTTTACTTATTTATTTACTGGATTTGATTTTTAAAAATTTTTTTAGAGATAGGAATGTTGGATTATTGAATTTGACATCTTTCTGGCACCCTGACTTGGAAAATCACTTAGTACACGGTATGCTTTTCATAGCACTACCAAGATTTTCATCTGGCATTAGCAGAAACAAAACTGGCCAATATAATATTAAACTTGTCAATATACTACATTGAACTAAAAGAATTCATGAGTTGAATTTGTTACTATGGGAACATCTATTGATAAAAAAAATGGAGTGTTATTTCTGGCATGTAAGACCCACCTTTCAAACTGTATAAGAAAGCTTCATTGCCATGCCATTTCTTAGGGGGTATTTAATTGGAATGGATGGTCTTTCTTCTTTATTTGAGAAGTTGTTTACTTTAACATTTTATGTTGCATATGGGTGACTTGATTTTTATTATAGACTTTATACATTGTTCCTCTTTTGATTTTTTGTGAAATGAAAAGGCATTTAGTTTATAGGTAAAATGAAATAATATAATATATTGCTTGAGTACTTCTTCAGTGAGGATTAAGCTGCCTTCCTAATGTGTGTCAGGGCATAGACTCTTTCTGAGAAAACTCAATTTCTTAAGCATGGATTAAAGGGCTCAAACCATCTGACGTGGAATTTAAAGGAGATGCACATTTGGAATTTGCAAGAATGTAAATATACTTGATTCAGCCGGAAGCGTGGGTACCTTTAACACATCTTTTAAAATACTTTCAGATAATTAAGAGGGGAAAAAAGTGAATTCTCTGCCATGGAGACTACTTTTTTTTAAGAAAATGAAATGTACTAGAAATTATATCATTTTTATTTTCTGAGGCTAAATGAGCTGATATATGTCATGTTTACAACAGTTCCTGGCACACTGTAACTTCTTTTTTGAAAAACAGAACTTGATATTGATTCAATGGCCTTCTTACTTTCCTCCGAATACATCTATGGTTTTAGAAACTAGAAAAAGAAAGGAAAAAGGAAGAAACCTTTCTCTCTATATAAACAGCCCCCACATTCCGTAGAGCAGACATTTAAATATTAGGAAATGGCCTCCTTCTCTCCTTCCCCTCTGTGTCTACCTGGGCCTTGTCGATCTGTGGACTAGGCTAACCCAAATGGGCATGGACTGCCAAGTTTGTTGCCTCCAGTTTCTCCTCTAGGAGCCTTTTCACCATCTTGGGATATATACTTACAGAGACTTCTATGTGGGGTGGTGCCTGTGGCTCAAAGGAGTAAGGCACCAGCCCCATATACTGGGGGTGGTGGGAAACCCGGCCTGGGCCAACCCAAACCTGCAAAAAAGAAAAAGAGACTTCCGTGTGAATGACTGTTATGGTGGGGAAGATAACTGGCCCTGAGAAATCTAGGGACTTGACTTCTGGTTCTGACTTTTTCTTTATTTTTTATGACTTTGGGCATTTCACTTCTGTGAACCTCAGCTCCTTATCTTTACCAGACAGGGTTGGACTACATGATTCTTAAGTGTCCACCTCTTAAAACTTGATACTTTCGTTGCGTTCACATGCATGTGCATGCTCAGCACCCTTCCCAACATCAGATTTTTATGAACCGAATGATGGTCTTGTAAAACACATGAACCTTTCTCAAGATAAAAGCCAACATTTTTACTTAATTTTTTTCCTTTCACTTTCTGGACTTTAATTTGTTGTCTTCTATTTATCTGGATTTGAACTCCTGCTTTTGCCAAGTGGTCAATTCTTAAAGACCCAAAATAACTTAGACCTTGTAGGCAGAAAGGTTTAGATCATGACAGCTATTTGTGTATTTAGTTTTAAGTTGTATACAAGCTCCTTGTACACAGATCAGCAATCCCGAGTCACTTTCACTGCATGAAATAACATAAGGTTATCTACTCCTGGTGATTGCATGTGCTTAAAGTGTACTAGAAAATTGCCAGAAGTAGTCTCTCTGATTAGATCATTTTGGGGGGGTCTGACTCATGAACCAAGTCATATTATCCTCAAGTTCACTTCTGGTATGGGATTCCTCAAGAGGGAATTTATTATCTTGAAACCTTTCCATTTTTTTGTAGCTCATTTGCTGTTATATCTAGTCATATGAGGGTAGCTTTCAGCTTTCTTTCTCTTTATAAATGTTTCACCTTTCCCCCATATATTTCACTTCAACAGACTCAGGCTATTAAATTCCAGTCTAATGTCTGGATATGTCTTCCTTCTATTCCTTTTTTCTTTTCTTGTTTAACCAAAGCTACATTGCCAAAAATATTTACTAATATTACACCATGCACTTTTAATCACTTCTTTCTTTCCAGATTTTAAATTCTAATTATATTTAAGCAGAATGACATCATTTTTGGTTCATGATGTTATTTTGTTTTATTTTTTTAAATTATTTTTTGTTAAATCATAACTTTGTACCTCATGATGTTATTTTAATTGAGTTTCATTGCTTATTTTCTGGACATTTATATTTCATTATGAATTATCCCTTTTTGACAGAAATGATCCAAACATTTGTGAAATTTTAAATGCCCTGCACTAAAAAATGGTGGTGCATTTGTATAATATGGCATCTCTAAGGTCTCAATAGTAGCAGAATTGCCTAGATGGATTTACTAAAGGAAGTGTGGACAGGGTTAAGGAAGCAAAAAAGGGATGTTGAGGCATGCAGAAGAGGCCATGTGTTGCGTTGACTTCCTCCATAGGCCAGAAGGTTCTGTTTTATTTCATGGCCATAGACTGAACTCTAGTTAGCCACCTTAAAATTGTGTGCTTTTGTTCAAAAAGTATATTAGGCTTGAGAGTGTCTACCAGTGCAAATTCTCTTCCACTGATAGGAAGGAGGGCTGGAGGAAGGAGGAGGGATGGAGAGTTAGAGTCAGAGTTTCTTATTCGTTTTCCTGGGCTTCACTTTATTCTCTTCCATGAATTCTATCTAGTCTTTGGATAGGTTGATAAATATAAGGAATTTCTTAAATGTTCCAGTTGCTAAGAAATATAACTATTTAGCAATTGATAGATGTGTGTTAGAAATCTGGGCAGGAATAGCATACCCAGAACATTATCAGGCTGTTTGTTGTGTTAGGGAGCTTTTAAAAGTATGTCGGTCCTACTCGTGAACCAATTAAGTTTGAATACCTGGGTATGGGGCCTGGGAAGTGGTGTTTCTAAAAAGCTCCAGTGTGATCTCTTCTACTACCCATTTATGTTTGAGAATGATTATTCTTTTCTATTTTCATTCTTTAGTTTTCATATACCCATGAAATATTTTATGATTTCCTTCTGTGTGTTTGGTACTTCTTGTTCTTTGTTATTCATATCCCAGGTTGGATGGAAATACATAAACTGCCAAAGGCCATGGCCATTTTACCTATCGGTATCATCATTAAACTTCTTTTTACATTTGGTATTTTTCATAAGATTAAATAATTACCATCAGCTTGGCGTCCATTGCATAGTGGTTACGGTGACAGCCACATACACCAAGGTGGTGGGTTTGAAACAGACCCAGGCCAGCTAAACAACAATGACAACTGCAACGAAGAATAGCTGGGCATTTGGTAGGCACCTGTAGTCCCAGCTACTTGGGTGGCTGAGGCAAGAGAATTGCTTAAGCCCAAGAGTTAGAGGTTGCTGTGAGCTGTGATGCCATGGTGCTCTACCAAGGGTGACCCAGTAAGACTCTGTCTCAAAAAAAAAAAAAAAAGATCCTAAAGTAAATAAATAAATAATTACCATGTTCAAGATTATGTTTCTACTTTTCTATTCTTGAAGGTAAATTTTAAGATTAGTACTACGTTAGTAAAAAGTCACTAGAAAGAGGAAATTGTTTATATTTTGTATGTGTGATGCCATTTCACAGGTGTTTCTATTCATTTGTTGTGTTGATATTTCTGATCAACATGGAGGGCCTTAATCGAATATCTTTCAGAATGATGGGTAGAGTTGCTAATGTTTACTGCTGTGGGCTTTATAGGTATTAGTAACTTCTGTGTAAAGTCATTTAAGCTAAAAAGATGGAAATGAAGCAGGTAAAGCAAGAGAAACATTCTCTCTCGCAAATTCACTGTTTTGGGGGTCTCTTAAACATGTTATCTCATCTCTCCCCACTTTACACGGGAGTTTTGAGAGGTTACATATAATGGATTTTCTCTATATTATCTTATAGTATGTGGCTAAATTGGGATTTGACTACAGATCTGTTTGTCTTTAAAGCCCATGTCTCCTTCCATCCCCCCATATTACATTGCTCACTTGTTCCTAGGAAGCCTAGGGATATAGATAGGAGGGGTTTGAAATCATTTTCTATGTGTTTCTTTTATCTATGATATGATTTAGCCTTTTTTTCCCCCCAGGATAATGCCCTTCAAGCTGCATGGCCCTCAGCAGATGAATCCACCTCCAGCAGTGTCTCACCACTTGATTTCAGCTCTGGTCCTCCCTCAGCCACTTACAGGGAACTCTGGTCAGAAAGTCCTTTGGGTGATTTAGTGTCTACACGCGAATTAGGCTTTCCCTCGGAGATGGGCCTGAGCTCTTCCCCAGAGGTCTTAGAGGTTAGCAGCTTGACTCTTCCTTCTGTCACCCCAGCAGTGCTTCAGACTGGCTTGCCTGTGGCTCCTGAGGAGGGGACTTCTGGATCTCACTTCTTAGAAGATGGTGAGGAGCTCTGACCACTTTTCATACTTCTTCAAATGACAAGGGTTGTGATGAGAGGACAGGACTGCGGTTATGAGAAAAGCATTTATTAGGGGGAAAATGTCTTTAGAAACTTGTGTGAGAGAGGAAGTAGTCAGATTTAATTGGTTGTAATGGAGGGTCCAGATTGGTAAAGTAGTAACAAATAAACTTGTAGAGCTGGGGTGGGGATCAATTAATCGATATTTTGAAGGTAATAGTGAAGAATATATAATTCAGTTAAATTACTACTACTACTAAAGAACCACCTTACTTAATTTTAGAGTAGTAAACAAACAACATCAAAGATTATTCCAGGAGCTTATAGTAGGATTAATTGTGGGAGGCCAAGTCTAAAGGTTTTAGCTTGAGGAGAGGACCTTAACCAGGGCAGCCACAAAAGAGATAAAGAAGTGAAAATGAAATAGATGGTCTTCTAGATGTTGTAGAGAGGAAAGGAAAAATCAGTGTGACTTAGGGATGGAGTATACATTTGAAAGGCGAAGGTGAACAGAGATGTAAATAGTGAGTTCAGGATTTTGAACATGATGTAAATCTGAAGGATGAGGGATAATAAACTTAACAGAGAAATGAGAATTCAAAGAGAAACACATGTAGGGAATTTTCTTTCTGAAATATCACTGGATTTAGTCTTTGGCATCAATATTGTTATTAGCTCTTTATATTCCTGGACTGAAATAAATCAAATGTTTGAAGACTATTTCAATAATAATCCTGAAGAAGGAGGGTATTTTCGTGAGTGACTATATCACAAACATACTATCATATCTTCTTGTTGTTTGCTAGATATAGCCCAGTAAAAGTCAGCAACTATCCCTACTAACTTAATGGGAAAAATAGGAAATAGTTTTTTTAGAAAAACTAGAAATATATTTTGGTATCTCTGTAGATTAATTAATAAAAATTTTAATTTCAGGATTAGCTAATGTTGAAGAGTCAGATTTTCTTCCTATTGATTCATTGCCTTCAAGTTCATTCACTCAGCCTGTGCCAAAAGAAACAGTACCATTCTTGGAAGACTATGGTGTGTCCTTAACATCCTCACCATATCTGACCTCCTCAGCCCCCTTAGATCTTGCTAAAGAAATAACTGTACCTTTTGGCTTGGACTCCTTGACCTCTGAAGTCAAAGACCAATTAGAAGTGGGCCCTTTGCTGCCGGACACATCCATGGAGAAAGACTTCATATCAGAGAGTGGCTTAGGTTCAGGGTCTGGGCAACAGGCAGATCTGATCACTTGGCCATGGAGTGAGACTTCATTAGAGAAGAACACTGAATCTCTGTCTAAGTTATGGCCAGAAGATGATTCACTTTTGCCAACTGAGGGTGAAGATGAGAAACTAGTTATGGTTGACAAAATGGACTCCACAGACCAAATTATTGACCGTTCAAAATATGGGCATGGTGATAGATCCACAAACTTTACAGAGGAAGAGCCCCTTGGTGGAACTCAGTCAGCATCTCTAATTTCCTCCAAGCACACCTCAGAGGTTCCTGACATTGATGACTCAGTTACAAAAGCCCCTCTTCTACTGGCATCTGTAGCAATCTCTGCTTCTATTGATAAGCCTGATCAAGTAGATACCTTCCTGAGGAAGGATATGGAACAAACTACAGAGTCACCCAACCTAGAATGGTTTGACAGCAAGGTGAAACCTGATATGCAACCTTTGTGGACTGCATTGCCAGAATCGGATATAATTTGGGCAAGAACTTCTTCGTTAGGGAAATTGTCCAAAGACACATTGGCAAGTACACTGCAAAGTACTGACAGACTTTGGTTGAAAGCTTCCATGACACAGTCTCCCAAATTGCCTCCAACCACAAGTTCCACCCTGTTGGAAGATGAAGTAATTATGGGCGTACAGGATATTTCATTAGAACTGGACCGGGTAGGCACAGATTACTATCAGCCTGAGCTAATCCAAGAACAAAATGGCAAGGTTGGTAGTTATGTGGAAATGTCTACAAAAGTTCACCCCACAGGGATGGCTAGTGTGGCTCGGCCAACAAAAGGAGGTGACTTGAGTTATTCTCAGACTGCTGGAGCGTTGGTGGTTTTCTTCAGCCTCCGAGTGACTAACATGATGTTTTCAGAAGATCTATTTAATAAAAACTCTTTGGAGTATAAAGCCCTGGAGCAAAGATTCTTAGAACTGGTAAGCACAAAAAGTGAAACATGGGCATTAGGGACTCATGTATGAACTACCCCTCCCTTCCTCCAACACTAAGAAAGTGTGATCTGCTGTGGACATTCATTTTCTGTTATCCATAAATAATGTCAAGGCCTGGAGTTGGTAGGAAAACAGTAAAGAGACAGAGAACACAACAGTGGGGTGATGGTGATGTGACAGGTTACGTGGAAGATTGTATTCCATGAATTGTGGGACTGCAATAAGTTTGAAATTTATTTTCACATTTATTTTTTATATTAAATCATAGCTGTGTACATTAATGCAGTCATGGGGTACAATGTGCTCATTTTATATACAATTTGAAATATTTTCATCAAACTGCTTAACATAGCCTTCATGGCATTTTCTTATTGTGTTAAGACATTTATATTCTACATTTAGAAAGTTTCACATGTACCCTTGTAAGATATACCATAGGTGTGGTCCCACCAATCACCTCCCCCTCCCTTTCCCCTTTCCCCATATTTTTGGGCTATAATTGGGTTATAGCTTTCTTGCTAAGTCATGGAAGAAGCCCAAGTGCCCATTGACCCACAAATGGATCAATAAGTTGTGATATATATATATACACCATGGAATATTATGCAGCCTTAAAGAAAGATGGAGACTTTACCTCTTTCATGTTTATATGGATGGAGCTGGAACATATTTTCACATTTTATTGTGAGACCAACATTTTGTGGATCCTTCTGATGCTTTCACTGTTGTGATCCTTTAGTGAAACAGAGAGCAAAACTTTCATAGAACAGTTTATGAGTTCCATGGGGTTCCTATATGAAAATCTCATGATATTCCTAATTTATGCTCTCAAATAATTCCTAATTGATACTTTTGTTAATTAAAAGTTTAAATGTAAATAGAATACAATTTAGAAAAGTGAGGGAAGAGCTCATTATTCTTTTTGTTTGTTTGGTTTTTTTTGGTATATATTGAACAAAATGCAAAACCCTGTCAATAATCTTACCATTTTCCATGTCTTGTAGCTGGTTCCATACCTCCAGTCAAATCTCACAGGGTTCCAGAATTTAGAAATCCTCAACTTCAGAAATGGCAGCATCGTGGTGAACAGCCGGATGAAGTTTGTCAATTCTGTCCCTCCTAATGTCAACAGTGCTGTATACATGATCCTGGAAGAATTTTGCACCACTGCCTACCAAACCATGAACTTGGCTATTGATAAATACTCCCTTGATGTGGAATCAGGTAATGACATTGTCTACCCTTGTGGTTTTTAGTGGAATCCAGTGATTATTCTTATGGATCTTCTCCCTCACTGAGTCAAGGTGAATCCAATACTTGTAGGAAAAATGAGTACTATGTCAGACAGATTTTCCAAATTTTGATAATTAGATATTTCTTCCAAGGACATCAGTATTATTCTCTTTTCAAAGTGATACATGTTATCTTTACTATCTCACCTCCCATTCCCATTTCTATCTACTCTTTCTGGCTTTCTCTTTTACGTAGCCCCTGAATCTTTTCTTGCTATATCTTTGTGTTGTCAAGCCCAAATAAGCCCAAATATCTGGACTACCTGCCTTTCTATATTATTTTTCTAAGTTTGAATATCCATTCCCCTTGTTTTAAGTCTTATATAAGTGTCAGTAACTGTCCACATTTTTATAAGCTGATCAAACCTCTTTTCTGAGCTCCAGAATCAGTATGTAACTACTTACTTGATACTCTCCACTTGGATGTATTCTGCGCAGTTCCAACTTAAGATACCTAGGAGGGAGCTCTTATTTTCCGTATCTCCCTGACCTCCAGTTAAATCCACTTCTTCTTTCACCTTCATCACCTCCAGAAATAAAACTTTTCTTTTCTGCTAAGAAGCTTTAAGCCAGAAACCTGAGAAGTCATTCCTCACACCCCAGTTCCCATCATCCCCAACTTTTAGTCACTCACCAAACTTGTATTGATTCTTAATTCTAAATGTCTCTCAAATCCATGTTCTTCTCTTTATCTCTGTGGCTGCTACTCTATCCAAACCAACATTATCTCTCACATGGGCGACCAGTTTCCCCACATCCTCCCTTGCTCCTCCTCCCATCTGTCTTCCAGACAACTAGGGTGTTCTTTCTAAAACATTAGATTATTTCACTTTTGCTGCTCAAAGCCCTTCAAGGGCTTGTTGGTTCAATAGCCCCAAAGCCTAGTCCCTATTTTCTCCTCCAATATCATCCAATGAAACTCACCTCTCTGCCTAGTATGTTCTTGTCAACTTTTTTCTTTTTTGTTATTCAGGTATACTGAATTTGTTCTTGCCTTAAAGCTTTAGCCTGATGCTCTTTTCCCTCTTGACTGATTTCCACACATCCTGATGCCTCAGTCAAATGTATCTTCCTCAAGATTTTCACTATCTCACCCAGCCTAGATTGGGTCTTTCTTAGTAGTTTTTCTTATAACATCATGTTCTTTTCCCTTACAGGGTTTATCACCATTATAATTATGTTACTTTATGTTCATAGGTGCTTAATGGCTAATTTTCCAAAAGAGCTGAGAGTATGTCTATTTCATTAACCACTTTCTAGCCAGAATTTAGCACAGTGACTTGAAAGTACTCAAAAGATACTGTGAATAAATGACACAAATCATTACTTTTATTTGGGAGACTTAAATGTAGAAAATACTGTTGGAACCTGGAATTTTTTTTTATATTTATTTGATTTTGTGAAATTTTTTTTTTAAATTAATTAATTAATTATTTTATTAAATCATAGCTGTGTACATTAATGCAAACACGGGATACAGTGTGGTGTTTTCATATACAATTTGAAATACTCTCATCAAACTGGTTAACGTAGCCTTCATGTCATTTTCTTAGTTATTGAGTTAAGACATTCATACTCTGCTTTTAGAACTATTCACCTGTACCCTTGTAAGATAAACCATAGAGGTGAC